CACTCACCTCCAACCCCAGGGTGTTCCCCAATGCCACAATAGAGTCCACAACAGGCAGAGGGTGAGCTGGGTCAGGGTCAGCCTCAAACCCTTCAAAATCCCTCTTTTGGACACAATCTGGCCACAATTGTCTCCAAGCAGAGTTCAAAGTCCTGGAAGTCACACTCCCCCAAGGCTTTTGGAGTTGTAGATGTTGAAGTGATTCCTCCAGAACTCTCTTAGGGTCAACTTAATGTCTGTGGTCACTTCAAAGCACTTTTCAAACACTGCTTTTGTGTAGAGTTTTTTGAAGTTAGAAATGACCTACTGGTCCATGGGCTGGAGGAGAGGAGTGGTGTTAGGAGGCAAGAACTTCACTTTTATAAAACTGAAGTCTTAGACAAGAGGTCTAATAAGTTTGGAGGATGAGCAGGAGCATTGTCCATTAACAGGAGGCACATGGGTGGCAATTTCTTTTCCTGGAGGTATTTTTTCACACTGGGGCCAAACACTTCATAGACCCACTCTTTAAAAATTTGTCTTGTGACCCATGCCTTATGATTAGCTTTCCACAAGACACATAACTTGTTCTTAAAGACATTGTTTTTCTTAAACACTCTGGGATTTTCTGAATGATACACAATTAAAGGGTTCACTTTAAAATCACCACTAGCATTATCACAGAATAAAAGAGTAAGCCTGTCTTTCATAGGCTTTTGTCTTGGCAGTGTCTTTTCCTCCTGTGTGATGAAGGTCCTTTTTGGCATTTTCTTCCAAAACAAGCCTGTTTTGTCACAATTAAACACTTGTTCAGGTTTCAATTCTTCACTGTCTATGTACCCCTTAAACTCCTGTACAAACTTCTCAGCCGCCCGTTTGTCTGCCTCACCATGTCTTACAACATTGTGTATGCCACTACGCTTCTTAAATCTGTCAAACCAGCCTCTGCTGGCCTTAAATTCACTATCAGCACTGGTTCCAGGAGTTTTCTGTACCAGATCGGCATGCAACTTCCTCGCCTTTTCGCAAATAATCGTCTCTAAAACACTATCACCTGCAATCTCTTTATCCTTGATCCACACCAGCAACAACTTCTCAACCTCTTCAGCTATTTGTGGTCTTTTTTTGGTTAGCATATTAACACCTTTCTCAACATCAGCTTCCTTGATTTGTTCTTTCTTTGCCAGGATAGAACTGATGGTCGACTTGTTTTTCCCATACATCCTGGCAAGCTCAACAAGTCTCACACCCCTCTCATACTTCTGTATTATTTCCTTCTTCACATCTATGGTGTTTCTCACTTTCTTTACCACAGGGGTACCACTAGCAAGTTTCTTTGGGCCCATGGCAGCTTGTTTCACAGTCCCACAAGCACTAAACACAACAAAATAATCATAAAATGTGTGAATGAGAGTGCAGATTAGTGTTCACTCAAGCATAAACAAAGCTAGACTGCTCACGGCGCCTGCGCGGGGACGTGGACAGAGCGGGCCGGCAGACAGGTCCCGTACCCGGCTGTCCGAAAATAGGGGCGCGTTCGATAATAGGGACACAGTTTGTCCGAAAAAATGGTCCTATTTTTGAAACGTTCGATATGTGATACGTTCAATTTTTGAGGTTCCACTGTACGTATGTGTATTTTATTCTTTATTGCTGTTTAATGCCTAGTACAGTGGACCCCCGCATACCGATGGCATCACATAACGATTAATCCGCATACCGCTTGCTTTAATCGCAAAAATTTTGCCTCGCATACTGCTTAAAAACCCGCTCACCGATTTTTGTCCGAGACGCGTCCAGTGTGCGGCCTGAGCCAAGCTCACATGTTCCGCCGGTGGCATTGTTTACCAGCCAGCCTCCGCGGTAACATCCAAGCATACAATCGGAATATTTCGTATTATTACAGTGTTTTCGGTGCTTTTTCTGGAAAATAAGTGACCATGGGCCCCAAGAAAGCTTCTACTGCCAACCCTACAGCAATAAGGGTGAGAATTACAATAGAGATGAAGAAAAAGATCATTGATAAGTATGAAAGTGGAGTGCGTGTCTCCGAGCTGGCCAGGTTGTATAATAAACCCCAATCAACCATCGCTACTATTGGTAGTACAGCTGCTGCTGCTGCTGCACTGTCAGCTGCTGCTGCTGCTGTAGCATCGTCTGCTGCTGCTGTAGCATCGTCTGTTGCTGCTGTACCACCGTCAGCTGCTGCTGCTGCTGTAGCATCGTCTGCTGCTGCTGTAGCATCGTCTGTTGCTGCTGTACCACCGTCAGCTGCTGCTGCTGCTGTACCACCGTTGTTGGTGTGGCTTATTGAGAATACCAAGAAACAATTAACCCCAGAGGATTTGCCACCCAGGATAACCCAAAAAAGTCAGTGTCATCGAAGACTGTCTAACTTATTTCCATTGGGGTCCTTAATCTTGTCTCCCAGGATGCAACCCACACAAGTCGACTAACACCCAGGTGAACAGGGAAAAATGCCTGGAACTAGTGCTCATATTGGTGAATTTAAAAGCCAGCAAAGGTTGGTTTGAGAGATTTAAGAATCGTAGTGGCATACACAGTGTGATAAGGCCTGTTCTGGAAGAAAATGCCAAACAGGACCTACAGTACTCAGGAGGAAAAGGCACTTCCAGGACACAGTGTCTCATCAGTCATTGCTGCATCTTCAATAAAGGTAAGTGTCATTTATTCTTCATTTAGTAGAGTAGTACATGCACAATATATACTGTGCATGTACTACTCTACTATTGTGCATGTATCCTTCTCTTTGTGTGTAGGAAAATGTATATTTCATGTGGTAAAATTTTTTTTCATACTTGTGGGTGTCTTGCACGGATTAATTTGATTTCCATTATTTCTTATGGGGAAAATTCATTCGCATACCGATTATTTCGCATAACAATGACCCCTCTTGCACGGATTAAAATCGGTATGCGGGGGTCCACTGTACTATTTTTTATATACTAAAAATGTTATAAATGGTGCAAAGGTGACATCTAAAGATGGTTGACACAAACCCACTACTAGTACAGTATGCTTGATATATCAGTAAGGGGCAGCTCCTCGCTTAACGACCAATTCACTTACCGACCTACTCTTAGGAATGGAACCGAGTCGTTAAGGGAGGAGTACCTGACATGCATAAATTCCATTTACATAAATGACTCAAAAGGATGTCTACTTTTACTACTGTTACTGTACGGCAAGTTTTTATAAAAGTATGTAAAAATTATTTCAGGGTACATATCAAAACTGCATGATGAAGAGTAAAACACATATGCAAGAGTTGAGTATCTTTATTGTTGGCTGAAATGTTTTGCCTACACATAGGCTTCTTCAGTCAAATACAGAGGCAGCAAAGTAATGATGAAGTAGTCAGTCTATCAACCTTGGAAAAATAGTTTTTGAGGTGGTCATTTCCTCAAACTGGAGAAGTGTTCAGCTCCAGTCTGGAACAATGTGAAACTGAAACATATGAATGGAGTCTTAAATACTGCTGAATGCGACACAGGAAGGTCTTGATGTACCAGGTGAGGAACATTAGTAGAGGGTGAGAATTTGAGCACTACAGCAGGCCTACTGGTCCATGCTAAGCAGGTCCCTCTGAATACCAACCTTTTTCACTGTAGTAGTTAATGAAGTTGTGGAAGATATCCTCTGTACCAACATACCGTTGTGTTGCTGTGTCAGAGAAGTATGTTGAAAATAGTCTATAATACTGACAAACTGAAAAGTAAGAAATGCAACAGATGTGGAAATTTATTTGGTCCCCAGAAAAATCCATGGACGGATTCACAGTAAATAAGCTCTAAGAGCCCTTAACATCCACCAAACAAACATTAGATGGCAAAGCAGTGAGTTTGTACATTCTAACTGATAGATTTACCCTTTAAAAGGAGGTTTAGGTAGGTTTATACTGTTAGTAACTAACCTTAGATATTAATAATGTAGCCTTAGACTTTAATATAGATGAATATTAGGTTATATTAGATAAGGTGAGTTAGCAACCCCCATGCTTGAGCGGAGGCAGGAGGAGGTCAGACAGACACTAGCACGTTCGTCTCGACTAGACATTGTGGTGATAAGGTACCATGAGCTACAGCTCGTTGCCCCACGTGTCTTCAAAATTTTTGGCCCTTGGAACAAAGAATCATAGAGGCTTCTGGAACTACTGAGGATATTCATCTCTGTCCAGGCCCCCCACAGTAAGACAATACCTTTCATTTCTCTTAGTATAATGGCCAGCGATATTCTGAAGAACGTGGGTTATTTGAACTGGGTTATTAGCGGGCGAATGCCCACAGGTCTGGTAAGATTGCGGGCATCTCCTCTTAAGTATTAATCTAGAAGCTAGTGTCTCACAGCATAAATATTGCTTAGAGAATACCCATTGAATTCAGGGATCTTTAAGGTGCATGCAGGGGATACTAATACCATCTGAATACTTGCAGGAATAAATCTTCACTGCATGTTGTGTCTTGAAGAGAGGGACCAGAGGTATATAGGTTTGCTTAGGTAGAATCAGGGGATTTCTGGTAGCATATTATCCACCTCCAAGTAAGTCAATCCTTTGTGCATGTAGTTAGGAATTTCTTGCAAGATCAGTTTACATATGGAAATGTGTCCTAGAAGCCACTTGTGAGACTGGGATGACTAATCTCAGTGTCTGTGTCAACAGTACTTACTAGGGTGAGCATCTCAAAAGGAGGCAGTCCGTACACAATTTCCACAACAATTGGATATCTTTATTGTTGACTGAGGGACTGACCACTACAAAAACTATTTCTCCAAGGTTGCTAGACTGATTACATCATCTTTACTTCACTACCATGCCTGTTGCCTTTGTATTTGACTGAAGAAGCCTACGGTGTAGGTGTAACATTTCAATCAACAATAAAGATACCCAGCTGTTGCACATGTATCTTACTCTTCAACTTATCAGTATATCATTTTCAACAAGACCGCATGATAAATACATGTATTATGGTAGGGGGACTGTTTTAACAATGAAAAAAGTATTTAAAAAAGGTTTATTTCAAATCATCTTACATAGAAATCACATAAAATATAATGTGCAATACACAAATATATATCAGTGAAATTACTTTTTTACTAGTTTAACAATATTGCATACTGAAGACAAATGGCTCAAAGCCAATAGGTGATGAAAACATGCACACCTGCAGACAGGAACTAGTGAGATGCTTTACCTGCACTGAAGAAGCTTGTTCCACAGGTGAAACATTTCAATAACATTCCTCTATGCATTTTTTTTTCACCAATATTGTTCGCTGTATAGTCATCCCTACTGACTTGATGCTCTCAGAGTAATTTCTCTTAGGGAGTGAGGATGAAGTGGGAAAATGTGTGCTTGGAACCACCTGTACCCTACAATAACCTCTTTTAGAGGTTTGCATAATGAGGAGAGCTTTTGTGCTGCTTACGACATGAATATGCATGGCTGCTAAGTATGGACTGGGTAGACTAATAGACAGCCATCAGTATTGTTTAGAAAGCTACTGAAGTAGCGTGTTTTATTTTTATCCCAGCTTCAATAGGCGCACTACATTTTACCCCAGCCAACAATTCCAAGAGATGATAGTGGCAGGATCTGCAGTGGTATGAAAAGCATTACTCGAGACAACAAAGTGGGATATTCAAGACAGGTTTTAACATTTAAGGTTTAGATAAGTGTGCATGTAAGTAATTGTTTTAATAAACTTTGATACATTTTTTTTTTTTTTTTTTTTTTTTTTTTTGCAAGTCTTGAGGACACACACATTCTGTAAACAGAAATGTTAGTTGATGCTGGCAAGACTACAGATGACTACTGTTTATAAATAAACATTTTTCTTTTTTTTTTTTCAACGTTGTCCATCTCCCACCGAGGCAAGGTGACCCAAAACAGAAAAAAATTATTTTCAACATTCTTTGCAGAGGCACCCAGATACAAGTTTAGATGTCACCCCAAACAGCCAATATCCCAAACCTCTCCTTTAAAGTGCACGCACTGTACCTCCAGGTCTCGAGTCTGGCTAACCTCCTTCTCCGAATCCCGTCATAAAATACTACCCTATTCACACTCCAAAAGCTCGCCAGGTCCCAAAAATCATTCATCTCTATTCACTCCTATCTAACACGCTCACACATGCCTGTTGTATGTCCAAGCCCCTTTCACACAAAACCTCTTTTACCCCCTCCATCCTTTCCTAGGACAATCCCTACCACTTCTTCCCTCCACTACAGACATATGCATACTAAACCAACTTAGGGTCATACAGCACTGATATGCATGCCATAAAACTTAGTAATTTTAGAAGAGCTAGACATACTCCGATCTGTTGCTAGAGGTATTCAAAATAAGCTGTTGGAGTACGTGGAAAGGCTTCTTAAGTGTTTGCATAGATTGTCAGAACCATCAATACATATATTTGAGCATGTTGGTTACTTAGGAATCAAGAACTTAAAGCAAGAGGAGACCCTTGTCAGTTTAGTGCTTTCTCTGATTATAAAAATAATTAAAGCAAGAGGAAGGTGAGGGTTGTTTGAGAAGCTCCTGTTATATAACCATTTTGAAATGCCAGGCTACAAAATACAAACTCATTTTCTTTTAACTTCACATGCTTATGATACATGGGTAATGTTTTAATAGTTTTGTTTCCGTCAATTATAATTATAATAAAAACTAAGTGCTAAACCCACAAGGGTCATACAGAGCTGCTTGTTTCCCTCAAGATGGATTCCCGATACCAGGGAGGGGCTCGTACTCCAATTCATTGGATGTATTCTCTGTCTTGGATTGTACCTGACTATCTCCCATTCCCCAGGCACACTATGACCCCTATGGGTTTGGCACTTTCCACTATTTTTTTTTTTTAGCATGCTGGACGTCTCACACTGAGGCAGGGTGACCCAAAAGAAAGAAAAAACTTGCCATCCTTCACACTATTATTGTTTTGCCAGAGGTGTCAGAACTCAAGTCCTGTTAATCAGTTTCCCTGAATCCCTTCACAAAATATTACCTGTCACTGGAGAGCATTCTGTTCATTCTAAAGTATATATTGAATTGTCCAGCTCAAGAGAGTATGGTCTAATGGTTGGAAAAAAGTTAAGCATGTTCATGTGTACATTACTTTGATGCCTACATATTTCCGTTAAAGTTTTGTTTGAATAGTACCATTGTGCAAATAAATTTACACATTAGGCTATTAATAAAATATTAAAACAAAAATTAAGTTATCCTAGGTCTATTTTTGTAATAAATTTGAAATTAATAACCATTAAATTGCTAAAATATTTTGTAGCAACTGTTATTTACACTAAAGATGGTAATCATTGTCAAATATTCATAACATTCCCTGGATAATACATTATGCTATTGCTCTGTGGGCATGAACTTGGTTGATAAAGTTGTACAAGAGTGTGTGGAATAAAATGGGATCATCAAGGTAAGCTGGGTGTTTTGCTCCAGGTATTTCTACATGCTGAGACGAGGGAATGTTCAACAAGTCATCACGAGATGTATGCCCAAGTCCTTGGTCCTTCTCTCCAGAGATAATGAGTGTAGGAACCTGAAAAAAAATTACAAGATTAAAAATCAAGTTATAAAGAGCACTAAATGACTCACACTTATTGCTTTTCATAAATATTATGTACGTACTGTATAAAGGTGTGTAAAGGCAGAAAGTTGAAAGTGAACATAGACAAGAGTATGGTGATGAGGGTATCAAATGATTTAGATAAAGAAAAATTGGATATCAAATTGAAGAGGAGGAGTATGGAAGAAATGAATGCCTTCAGATATTTGGGAGTTGATATGTCAGTGGATGGATTCATGAAGGATGAGGTTAACCATAGATCTGATGAAGGAAAAAAAGGTGAGTGGCACACTGAGATATATGTGGAGACAAAAAACATTATCTATGGAAGCAAAGAAGGGAATGTATGAAAGTATAGTGATACCAACACTCTTATGTGGGTGTGAAGCTTGGGTTGTAAATGCTGCAGTGAGGAGGTGGTGGAGATGTTCTGTCTAAGGGCAATGTGTGGTGTAATTATGCAGAGAATTCAGTGTGTGGAAATTAGAAGGTGTGGAGTTAATAAAAGTATTAGTCAGTGGGCTGAAGAGGGGTTGAGGTGGTTTGGTCATTTAGAGAGAATGGATCAAAGTAGAATGACATGGAGAGTGCATAAATCTGTAAGGGAAGGAAGGAGGGGTAGGGGTCGTCCTCGAAAAGGTTGGAGGGAGGGGGTAAAGGAGGTTTTGTGGGCGAGGGGTTTGGACTTCCAGCATGCATGAGCATGTTAGATAGGAGTGAATGGAAACGAATGGTATTTGGGACCTGACGAGCTGTTGGAGTGTGAGCAGGGTAATATTTAGTGAAGGGATTCAGGGAAACCGGTTATTTTTATATAGCCAGACTTGAGTACTGGAAATGGGAAGTACAATGCCTGCACTTTAAAGGAGGGGTTGGGATACTGGCAGTTTGGAGGGCTATGTTGTATATCTTTATACGTATATGCTTCTAAACTGTAGTGTTCTGGGCACCTCTGTAAAAACAGTGATTATATATGAATGAGGTGAAAGTGTTGAATGATGATGAAGTATTTTCTTTTTGGGGATTTTCTTTCTTTTTGGGTCACCCTGCCTAGGTGGGAGATGACCAACTTGTTGGAAAAAAAAATATATATAAAACAGTACACTGTATAATTCTACGGGTTTAGCGCTTCCCATGATTATATAATAATATAAAATAATAAGTATAATAAATTTAAATTTTTAATATTTCATTCAGGAGTAAAACCAACGGTTTTCAAGAATTATCTACAAATTATTTACTGTAGAATATAACCACTGCAAAAGAATCGTCCCTTCAAGGGAAGTGCCTTGATGCTGGTGAAGAGCTCGATCCAAAGAATTTAAGGCACCCTCTCTTTCCTTTGATAGAATCCAATTGCCTCCCATTTCCTTGGAACTGTATGCATAGTGCTTTAAAAGGGAGGCTGTTTAATAACAATGTCAACAAGGTGAGACAACGATACTTTATGGAAAGAGAACACTAGTTGTTCAGTAACAGTATTAGAAACAGTTGTGTTATTTTGATTGAGCATGCCTTGGATCTGCTAGAGATATCACAATTGTTATAAGTAAAAAAATGTTTGTGTTTGGGTATAAAATTATACTAAACAGCAGAGCAATTGATACCAGTGGTACCATATGTTATGGGTTGACAAAAACTGCAAATAAAAATGTATTGAATAAGTGTTGTACAAGCTGGCACAAAGTCTCTTGGCATGAAAATCTTTTTTTTTTTTTAATGGTGTGATAATTATAGCCTTATTTTCCAAGAAGATACACTAGAATTGCAATAATTTAGCTACCTGAAGGATATCTAAAGGTTGTTTTGGGGGATCAAATTGCCTCATGGCTCTTAGTTATGCACAACATTTTGTGCAAATTTAAACTAGAACTAATACTAACAATATAAAAATAAAAAACATATTAAACATATAGATATCAATGCACACACTAAATATATAAAATTACATTATGCAAACAAGTGATACAAGATGCAAAACAACCACTCCCCTGTGGTTGTTTTGCATAAAATTACAAGTACAGCCTCTCTTCACTTACTGATGTACTCGTTTACTGACAACTCGGAGTTACGACGGTCTCTCTGACGAGTTATTGTATACTGTATGAAAACTTGGGTCATGAATGGGCAGCGCAGTGTCATCAAGCATCTTAATCTCCTTCCTACAGCCACTCAGTACACTAGCTTTCAGTCTCCAAGACTACATATTTGTACAAATTTTCTGTTTTTCCTCTTGGAAGAGGAAAAACGAGGAAAATAAAAGAAGTTCATTGTAAAGGGGTTAGTGATGTGTCTCAGCATCGAGCAATCTCCAAGACTACATATTTCGTCTATAAATTTGTACTTTATTGTCTATCCCATAATAGAAGATACAGTTATAAGTGCAGCAGCACTTGGAAGAGGAAAATGGAAGAAGTACAAAAGAAGTTCACAGTAAAAGGGTTAGCTGGTGTGTTCGTATGTGTGTTTACATTCTCAGTGTATCGTGGTAGCTTAAAAAATGATTAAAATCTGTGAACAAGGTATGTTGATGGTAATAATAATAATAAATAATAGCTCTGGAGTGCTTTAAATGTCAGCTACCAAACCTATACAAAATACTTATGACATTTCAAGCGCTCCAGATCGATTAATTATTATTATTATTATTATTATTATTATTACATGTACTTCTTTCTTTCTTTCAACGCACCGGCCGTATCCCACCGAGGCAGGGTGGCCCAAAAAGAAAAACGAAAGTTTCTCTTTTTAAATTTAGTAATTTATACAGAAGGGGTTACTAGCCCCTTGATCCCGGCATTTTAGTCGCCTCTTACAACACGCATGGCTTACGGAGGAAGAACTCTGTTCCACTTCCCCATGGAGATAACAGGAAATAAACAAGAACAAGAACTAGTAAGAAAATAGAAGAAAACCCAGAGAGGTGTGTATGTATATATATACAGGTCCTCCATCACAAATCCGGCATCATTGGGACCTGTAGTGTGCCGGATTACTGAGTTTACCAGATTACAGAGTGGTTAGGTTAGAATACACTTAATAAAATTAACCAACTTGACTTACACAGTTCATTGAACATCGGCAAAAATCGAACATTTCCGCTACTTTGAGCTCAATTTCAAGGTACTTTTCGTCATGAAAGCAATCAAAATCATGTCTATTTCTGTAATATATCTTCCATTCTATCAAATGAGTCCAAAAAATGAGAATACAACCATAAAAACCATACGAAAATATACTGCAAAGAGGCGGCTAATGGCTGAGAAGTTAACTCCCTTATTTATCGTCCGTCTTTTTTATTTTTGTTGTACGTTAAGAAGCATTTTTCCATCATACATTGCCCAAGTTTCAATGAGATAGCCCAATAAACAACCGAGAAAAAAATATTTACCAAAAATCATATATGGCAAGTCCAAGCCAGGTACTGGAAATAAGTCACTTTGTCTGACTTTTCTGGGTTATCCTTGGTTCTCTATACACACGCTGCTATGTATGATAGTCTATGTAACTGTATTTGTGTATACCTGAATAAACTTATTTACTTCTAGTCTGTCAACTGAGTACAAGAAACCGCCCATTCACTTATTTCAACTACGCAATAAAGTGGTCAGAAATTGGCAATTTGGCCGATTTCACACAAATTTCAACAGCTGCCAATTTCAAAATAGGGTCCAGAATAAACAATGTAGACATTCCTGGCACTAAAATAACATTTTCTCTGTTCATTAGTCACAGCTACAGGCCCCTCTTATATTACTCTTGCTTACCATTTGGAATTTTTATTCACACAAAAAAAAAAAATAAAAGATTTACTGTTATGCAGACTACTGCATTATTGTAATAATTGTATAAATAATGTCAATCCATTCTTGACTCCGTACTGGAATTTGGACTGGCAGGTGGACAGGTATTGGACGGTGACGTCATTTGTTTACTCTTGAGCTTCGCTAAAGAACAGAACATTTTCGCTACTATGAGCGCAATTTCAAGGTAATTTTCGTCATGAGAGCAATCAAAATCATATCTATTTCTGTAATATATCTTTCATTCTCTCAAATGAGACCGAAAAAATGAGAATATAACCATAACAACCATACAAAAATATACCGCTAAGCAGCCGCTAATGACTGAGAAGTGAACTACGCTATTTATGGTCTGATTTCTTTCATTTTTGGTGTAGGTGAAGAAGTATCTTTCCATCATACATTGCCCAAGTTTGAATAAGATAACCCAACAAACAACTGAGAATAATAATAACATAATAATAATAATAATATCTTTATTTACTACACATACATATACAAGATATACAGTCCTAGCTGACATCAGTGACATACTACTGTATAGAAAGCCGCTTGTTATGCAGAGTATTTCAAGAAAATTAGGTCAGTGTCCCAGGATAACACCCACACTAGTCCACTAATACCCAGGTACCCATTTACTGATGGGTAAACATAGACAACAGGTGTAAAGAAACACTCCTAATGTTTCTACCCTGGCTGGGAATCAAATATTTACCAAAAATCATATATGGCTAACCCAAGCCAGGTACTAAAAATAAGCCACGTTGACTTTTTTTGGGTTATCCTAGGTTCTCTACACATATGCTGCTATGTGTGATAATCTATAGAGAGAAAATAACTTTTTTGTTTCAGGTTTATGGTGCAGTACGAGTGTATATCACAGTTAGCCCTGTGCTACACTCCGTTTTCTCTAATATAAGCCCCCAAGACAGGGATAGGAGAATGGTATTTGTATACCTTATCCTCAGAGGCGTCGCTAGAGATGGTGTCACCCGGGGCAGCATCTTTGGTGTCACCCCCATGAAATTCAAGGGTGGGGGGGAGGGAGGTAAACTCCAGTTATGTCACTACTGCATGACCAGCGACAAATGTTTAACAATGAGAACATTTAAGACCATAAACTGAACAGAATACTTCTCGAATTTATTAATGATAAAATAAATAAACGTA